TAAAGTAGACTTCTGAGCAAAGAAAATTACCAGAGACAGAGAGGACCATTATATGATAAAAAGGTCAATCTGCCAAGAAAACAAAGCAATCCTAAATGCACATGCACCAAAAAAGAAAGCTGCTAAATATGTGAAAACTGATAGGAGTGAAAGGAGAAAAACCCACAATTATAGTTGGAGACTTTGACCTCCCCCTTTAACAATGGATAAAACAGCTAGATATAAAATCAACAAGGATATATAACTCAACAAAAGTACAAACTACCACAACACATTCAATATGAAATAGATAAATTCATAACCTTATAACTATTTTAAATTTTAATTTGTAATTTAAAAGCTCCTGAAAGACCAATTTCCAGGCCCAGATGACTTCACAAAAAAATTCTACCAGACAAATTCTAGTATATGAATTAGCTTCAATTCTATATGATATATTTCAGAAAAGGAGGGAACACTTACCAATTCATTTTATGAAGCTAGTATTTCCCTGATATCAAAGATAAAGGCAGTACCAAAAGAGTTTCAGACTAATATCCCTCATAAATACAGATGTAAAAAATCCTTAACAAAATATTATCAAATAGAGTTCAGCAATATATAAATACAATTAATATACCATGACCTAGTTAGGTTTATTCTACAGATGCAAGGCTGGTCATATATATATATATATATATATATATATATATATAAAATCAATAAAATTTATCATATTGACAGGCTAGAGAAGAAAAATCAAATGATAATATCGGTTGATGCAAATAAAGCATCTGACAAAATTCAACACCAATCCATGAAAAAACTCAGGAAACTAGTAATCGAGAACTTCAACTTGATAAAGAGCAACTACAAAGGCCTGCAGCTAAGGTAATAATTAATGGTGAAAGACTAAAAGCTTCTAAGAAAACAAGGCAAGGGGCCAGGCATGGTGGTTCACTCAAGCCTGTAATCCTAGCACTCTGGGAGGTCGAGGAGGGAGGATGGCTCAAGGTCAGGAGTTAGAGACCAGCCTGGGCAAGAGTGAGACCCCCATCTTTACTAAAAACAGAAAGAAATTGGCTATACAACTAAAAATATATATAGAAAAACTCAGCCAGGCATGGTGGCACATGCCTGTAGTCCCAGCTACTCGGGAGACTGAGGCAGAAAGATCATTGAACCCAGGAGTCTGAGGTTGCTGATCCAGGCTGATGCCAGGGCACTCTAGCCTGGGCATCAGAGTGAGACTCTGTCTCAAAAAAAAAAAAAAGAAAACAAGGCAAGGATGTCCACTGTCACCCCTCCTATAAACACAGACATAGCCAGTTCAATTAGGCAAGAAAAGGAACTAAGAGGCATACATATCAGAAAGTAAAAAATAAAACTATTCCTATTTGCAAATGACATAACTGTCTACACAGAAAACTGGAAGACATCTAAACACTGAGTTCAGCAAGGTCACAGGATACAAGATAAAAATACAATACCCAGGTGTATTCCTACATACTAGCAATAAACCCATGTAAGGCAAAATTTTAAAAACAGAAACACCTAGGTGTACATCCAATAAAACATGGGCAGGGTATGTATGTTGAAAACTACAAAGCACTGATGAAAGAAATCAAAGAGCTAAGTATATGGAGACCCATACAATGCTCACGGATTGGAAAAGTGAACACTAAAATTTTTTGTAGAAGATTGTTCTAAATTTATATGGAAAGGTAGAAGAACTAGATTAGCTAAAACAATTTTGAAAAAGAATAAAAGTAGGAAGAATCAATCTGATTTCAAGACTTATTATGCAGCTGTAGTAATCAAAACTGTGTGGTATTGGTGATGAAAACAGGGAACTCAGAAACAGACCCACAAAAACAAGCACAGCCAAGTGATTTTTGACAAAAGTGCAAAAGCCAATGGAGGAAGAACAGTCTTCTCATACAAATGGTGCTGGTTAGATATTCATAAGCAAAACTGCCACGAAACACTCAACCTAAACTTGATACCATATACAGAAATTAACTCAAAATGAATCACAAGTTTAAATGTAAAACATAACTATAAAACTTTTAGAAAAGTTCACAGGATAAAATCTTCAGGAACTTGGGCTGGGCAAAGAGCTTAGACTTGACACCTAAAACACAATCTAAAAGACAAAATTGTTAAACCAGACTTCATCAAATTATAAACTTTTGCTCTGCAGAAGACCCTGTTAAGAAATGAAAAGACAGGCTGCGCATAATGGCTCACACCTGTTATCCCAGCACTTTGGGAGTCTGAGACAGGAAGATCACAGGAAGCCAGGAGTTTTGAGACCAGGTTGGGCAATGTGGTGATACCATGTCTCTACAAAAATATAGAAAAATCAGTCAGGTGTGGTGATATGCACCTGTAGTCCCAGCTACTTGGGAGGCAGGAGGATCATCTGGGCACACTGTTGGAGGTTGCAGTGAGCTATGATGATGCCACTGCACTCTAGCCTAGGCAACAGTGTGAGACCTTGCCTCAAAAAAAGAAAAGAAAAAAGAAAAAGAAAGAAAAACTACCAACTAGGAGGGAATATTTGCATTTGCAAATCATATAACCAACAAAAGATTAGTATCTAGAATACACAAAGAATTCTCAAAACTCAACATTAAAAAAAAACCAAACAACTAAATCCAATCACAAAATGGGCAAAAAACACAGACAGACATTTGACCCAAGAGGATATACAGATGGCAAATAAGCACATGAAAATATGTTCAACATCATTAACCATCAGGGAAATACAAATTAAAACCGCAATGAGACATCACTACACATCTATTAGAGTGGCTAAAATAAAAAATAGTAACATCACCAAATGCTGGCAAGGGTGTGGAGAAACAAGATCACACATACATTGTTGGTGAGAATGTAAAATGGTAAAACAGTTTGGCTATTCCTTTAAAAAGAAAGCATGCACTAGGACCTAGTGATTGCATTTCTAAGCATTTATCTCAGAGAAATGTCAATTTATGTTCACATAAACCTGTACATGAACATTTATGACAACTTTATTTGGATAGCCAAAGATTGGAAACAGCCCAGATGTCCACTACTTGTGGTATATTCATAGCCTGCCGGCAATAAAAAGGAACAAATTACTGATATACACAACAGTCCTGGATGCATCTGCTGAGAATTATGCTAAGTGGAAAAAAACAATCCTAAAAGGCTGTATGATTCCATTTGGCATTCCTGACACACCAAAATTAGGAAAATGGAGAACAGACTAGTGGTTGCAGGGAGTTGAGGGAGTGGGGGCAGGATGGACATGGGTGTGGCTATAATAAAAAGGCTAAAGGACCCAATCCTTGTAGTTATGGAAATGTTCTGTATCTTGAATTTTATTAATTACAATACTGACTGTGATATTTACTATAGTTTTGCAAAATGTTACCAATGGAGAAAAGTGGGTAAAAGGGTTACAGGATCTCGCTATACTATACTATTTGTTACGACTCCATACAATAAATTTTCATGTATAATTATTTAAAATTTTACAATTCTCAAAATAAATTTCTTAATAATATGTAGTTATCTCAAAATAAAAGCTATCTGAAAATTTTAAAAGTAGATGATACTATATTTTTTTCAAATGGGGCTAGTGAAGAGTGAGATCGTTTAAAAAGGCAGTTCCTTTGTGATACAGATATATTAAATAAGGTAAACATCGGTATTTAATAAATTGTACATTCAAATTTAAACATAAGCAACAGAAATTCATATCTGAGTATGTATATCTGAGATTCAAGTTAGTCTTTAAAAGTAATTCTGGTGATGGCTGTGTAACTATGAAAACACTACATACAAACCAGTGAACTGTGCACTTTAAATGAGTGAATTGTATGGTGTGTGAATTATATCTCAGTAAAGCTGTTATTTAAGGGGAAAAGTAATTTAAATGTGAAAAGTACTGTCAAAAAATGAGGATACAGTGATCTTTATTTATCCAACTGTCCAAGAACCAGTCCCCAGCTAATTTACAAAGCTACAAAAGCGTTATGTATTTTCCTATCAGGAGGTTCTACACAGCAAAATATGGTTTGACTGTGGTAGAGATGCCCTGCAAAAAAGGCTTCAAATCCCAGGCCACCCATCCTAAAGCCAGCTGCTCAAAGCAGTGTACCTGGAAATCAACTTCAAAATACAGACTGCAAAACAAGGCACAAGGAAATCCCAAGAGTCCCCTTGGCTCTCTGTTCTGGGGAAAGGGGCAGAGATGGCAGGTAGGGCACACTGGGGTCAGGGTGTAGGCACAGCCGTAAAGTTTTCTATTAAATCTCAGTACATAACAACTCACATCCAGGTCAGATACAATTTCGAGAGTGGGAAAGATGCCTGAAAGCTGTTTCTGGGGGAAATAGGCTTGATCTCAGTCAACTTGTTTGAACTAACTTTGGGCAGCAGGTGCGGGGACAGCGCCAAGGTTAGCGCCGTGACCCGAAGGGCGGTCCCAAGCCAGGCCACCACGAAGCTGGACGCTCAGACAGAACGCGAGGACGCGATCCAAGCAAGCCAGCGTCTTACGGACAAAGCAATGCGGACTACTCGGGCGGGAAGGAGGGAGCGTCCGAGCAAGAAGGACGCGGTCAGACCGCGGCCTGCCACGTGACACCCGTCGCGACCTTGGGGTCACCCTGGCTGCCGCGCCGCCCGCTCCCTCACATCCGCCGCCCAGCCCGCCCCGCGCTCACCTACAACCAATGGCGCGGCGCTCCGCGCCCTGCGCGACCTTGGCGCGCGCCCGTACCCGCCAATCTCCGCCTGCCGGGCGGGCACTGCCGTGCCATTGGCTACCATGCCCGTCTGTCAGGCCCCGTCCCTCCCACCACCCTCCGTCAGCCCTGCTCCATCCAGCTCCACTCCCCTGTCACCGCGGCGCCCGCGGCATCAAGGGCGCGGTGGCCTCGCCCCCTGCCACGAGCCCTGACCCTGGACCGACAAGCGCCGCGCCTCCTGGCACTGCGCTGGAATCGGCAGCAGCGCGCGGTTACCTGTGTCCGGCTCAGCTCCGCCCGAATGAGGCGCCGACACCCCACTCCGGGGCACCAAACTCTCGGCCCCGCCCCGGCGTGTGGCGTCAGCACGTAGCCCTACCCCGGAGAAGAAGGCCCGCCCATCTGGCTGTAGGCGGGATTGTGACGTCACAGAGCCGCGCCGGCGTGACCGCGCAGGTGGGGGCGTCACGGCAGGCCAGAGCCCGCTTTTTTGCTCAGCTGGAAAGAGGGTTTAGTGTGTGGACTTCCAACGGCTTGTACGCTCATTTTGTAAAACTAAGATGTGGCCAACATCTCGTAGAAAACCATCAAATGATAGTTGCCTTAATGCGAAATTTGTCACGGCACAAAAATAAACAATTTGAATAACAAAATCTACCGTACTGAGCATTTGTTTTGCGCCATGCCTTCGGACAAGCGCTTCACCTGCACTACCGTGTAACAACCTGTGAAAAGGATGTTACTAGCCATGCTGGTACCCCACTTAGGTTGTTTTGACTCCCCGAGCCACCTACCAAGAAAGATAAAACGCTAGTTAACCAATCACACCTTGTTGATAGATTCTCCCTATTTCAAAATGTTAAAATTTGAGGGGAAAGTTGTATCTAAGAATTGATGAAATATGGTAAGTTGTATTCAATCACATGCTGAGAAACTTAGTCCCTTGCAGTTTTCCAGTCTTCGTTACAGCCAGGAGAAAACCTCATTTCTTGCTGTCTTTAACACCAATCTTTTTTTTTATTTCCCTTTTTGACATAGATCAGACTTTAGGCTCAAAGCTTTCAGTGGGCAATAATATAAAGCTAGACCTTAAACTGCTTTGTCTTCATAGTATTTGACAGTTTGTTTATGATACTTGATACTGGTTTTCCCACTTAGGAGAAAGTTTTCTTTTGTAATAAGTGGTTCTATCTAAATGAGGTATTAAGTAGATACTAGCATGGCTAGAAGGTGGCATCCAAATAACTGGCATTAAGGAAACTGTTCTAGCCTGTCTTGAATATTGTCCTGGGTATATTTTCCCAACAAGATAAAAAACTACTTAAAGACAAAAACTATGTCATGTATCACAGCAGAGATTTTGGGGTGACAAGGGGCAGGGATCTGACCAGCATGGTCATCCCATAGAGGACACAAATATTTGAATGTGGGCCAGTCTTCAAACCAAGGCTATGCTAGCCCTCCAGGGGTATGATATAGACTTCGAGCAATTTCTAAAAGAGAAAGGCCAAGTAAGAGGTGTTTTTTTGTTTTTTTTTTTGTTTGTTTGTTTGTTTTTAATAGAGAGTGTAAGTACTTCTAAGAACAAAGTTGGACTGATGTGTGGGACAAGGATCTGGAGACTAGGAGAAGATGAAAGGACCAAGGAACAAACTTCAGTATGCTTTTTTTCCTTTTTATTTTTTAAATAAAATATTTAAAATATTTAAACTAAATTTGTGTTGTAGTAAAATATATTTAAAATTTGCCATTTAATAATTTTAAGTGTATAATTCAGTGGCATTTATTACATTCACAATATTGTGCAACCATCACCACTATTTTCAAACTTTTTCATCACTCCAAATGGAAACTCTGTAACCATTAAGCAATAACTTCCCATTTCCCCCTCCCCTCTGCCTCTCCCCTCTCCCTTGGTAACCTCTATTATATTAATGCTTACATTAATACTCTCTGTCTCTATAAATTTGATTACTCTAGTTACCTCATGTAAGTGGAATCATACTGTATTTGTCATTTTGTGTCTGGCTTATTTCTGGCTTAGCATAATATTGTCAAAGTTTGTCCATGTTGTAGCATAGATCAGAACTTCATTCCTTTTTATAGCTGAATAATATTCCATTGCATTAAATATCTGCAGCATTTTTTTTATTCATTCACCCATTGCTAGATACTTGGATTGTTTCCAGCTTTTGGCTATTGCAAATAATGCTGCAATAAACATTGGCTTATAAGTATCTGGATATGTGTTTATATTAATAATTATTTTGCATATATATATATATATATATATATACACACACACCTGGGAGTGGAATTGTTGGGTTGTATGGGAATTCTGTCTAGCTTTTTGAAGAAGTGATAAATTGTTTCCCACCACAGCCACACCATTTTACATTTCCACCAGCAAAGTATAGTTTCCAATTTCTCCACAACCTTGCCAACACTTGTTATTTTCTTTTCTTTTCTTTTCTTTTCTTTTCTTTTCTTTTCTTTTCTTTTCTTTTCTTTTCTTTTCTTTTCTTTTCGACAGAGTCTCACTCTGTTGCCCAGGCTAGAGTGCTGTGGCATCAGCTCCTCACAGCAACCTCAAACTCCTGGGCTCAAGAATCCTCCTGCCTCAGCCTCCTAGTAGCTGGGACTACAGCAATGCACCACCATGCCGGCTAATTTTTCTATATATATTTTTAGTGGCCATTACTGCTTTTATTTATAGTAGAGACAGGGTCTCGCTCTTGCTCAGGCTGTTTCGAAACTCCTGACCTCCAGCAATCTGCCCACCTCCCCCAGAGTGCTAGGATTCAGGTGTGACCACCGCACCCGGCCCTTTACCCATTTTTAAATTTAGTTTATCCTTTTGTTGTTGAGGTGTAGGAGTTCTTTATATATCTGGATATTAGACCTTACCAGACATGTGATTTGAAAATAATGTTTCCATTTTCTAGTTGTCTTTGCATTTCTTGACATATCATTTGATGAACAAGTTTCGATTTTTGGTGTTCCTGAAGAGTTTACTTGGGCAGTCCATGGCGGGAGGGGGGGGGGGAGGGTTCACCTAGAAAAAGGTGTTGAACCTCTTGGTGGTGAAGCATGTGGCTCATGATTTCATGCGATACTGGTGGGCAGTAGGAACTTGATGACGGCATGGTGGAATTGACCACTGGCCCGGCACTTTCTGAAGCAATCTCCTCATCTTCATGATCTCAATGGAGCATGCTGGAACCCTATTGCTAGATGGTGATGCCTGCCAGATCAGACCCTGTGTCCCAGGATAGGTTGTGGGTGCTGCTTGGGGAAGTGGCACAGCAGATGCCCAAGTTCTTCACCCAAAATGGGAGCATCCCCACAACCCTGTCCACTGGAGACAATTTCTATCAGAAGACTTCATCTTCAACTGAGATACAAAGTTCCAGAGGCACAAAGATTTTTATGTAGTAGAAGGTTGGTGTGCAGCTTTTGGGGGTGGGCAGGCAGCACCCTACCACCTCATACTCTTACAGTGTACCCAGGCCTTCTATGCCTCCCTTTGTGTTAGCCACTACCACACCAAAAGCCAAAAGTTTTTAATTTTTTTTTTTTTTTTGAGACGAGTCTCGTTTTGTTGCCCAGGCTAGAGTGAGTGCTGTGGCATCAGCCTAGCTTACAGCAACCTCAATCTCCTGGGCTCAAACAATCCTCCTGCCTCAGCATCCCAAGTAGCTGGGACTACAGGCATGCGCCACCATGCCCGGCTTAATATATATATATATATATATATATATATATATATATATATATTTGACCAATTAATTTCTTTCTATTTATAGTAGAGACAGGATCTCGCTCTTACTCAGGCTGGTTTTGAACTCCTCACCTTGAGCGATCCACCACCTCGGCCTCCCAAAGTGCTAGGATTATAGGCATGAGCCACCGCACCTGACCAAAGTTTTTTTGTTTTTTTTTTTTTTGAGACAGAGTCTTGGTTTGTTGCCCAGGCTAGAGTGAGTGCCGTGGCGTCAGCCTAGCTCACAGCAACCTCAGACTCCTGGGCTTAAGCAATCCTTCTGTCTCAGCTTCCTGAGTAGCTGGGACTACAGGCATGCGCCACCATGCCCGGCTAACTTTTTCTATATATATATTAGTTGTCCAATTAATTTCTTGCTATTTATAGTAGAGACAGGGTCTCGCTCTTGTTCAGGCTGGTTTCGAACTCCTGACCTTGAGCGATCCACCGGCCTCGGCCTCCCAGAGAGCTAGGATTACAGGCGTGAGCCACCGCGCCCAGCCAAAGTTTTTAATTTTGATGTTACTCATGTCAGATCTAAGAATTCATTGCCAAATCTGAGGTCATGAAGATTTCAATAATTTATCCATTTTGAGTTAATTTTTGTTTATGACTGTAGGGTCCAACTTCATTCTTTTACATGTGGAACTCCAGTTGGCCCAGCATCACTTGTTGAAAAGACTATTCCTTCTCTATTGAATGGACTTGGTACCCTTTTTGAAAATCAGTTGACCATAGATGTTGGGTTTATTTCCAGACTCTCAATTTTATTCCATTGGTCTATACATCTATCCTTATGCCAATACCATACTGTTTTAATTACTGTAGCTTTATAGTAAATTTTGAAATTGGAAAACATGAGTTCTCCACTTTGTTCTTTTCAAGATTGTTTTGTCTACACAGGGCCCCTTGCAATATCATATAAATTTGAAGATTGGCTTTTATATTTCTGCAAAATAAGGCTGTTGGAATTTTGGTACAGATTGAGTTGAATCTATAGATCACTGTGGGTAGTATTGACATCTTAACAATACTAAGTCTTCCAGTCCATAAACACAGGATGTCTTTCCATTTATTTAGGTTGTCTTTAGTTTCTTTTAGCAATGTTTTGTAGTTTTTGGTGTATATGTCCTTTACTTACTTGGTTAAATTTACTCCTAGGTATTTTATTCTTTCCAATACATTTTTAAATTGCTCTATTAATCTCTTTTTTCGATATTTCATTACTAGTGTGTTGATTTGGGGTGTTGATACTGTGCTCTGCAACTTTGCTGGACTTGTTTATTACCTCTTCTTTGAGATTTTTTTATATAGAGGATCAAGTCATCTGTGGATAGAAATAGTTTTCCTTCTTCCTTTCCAGGTAGGACAACTTTTGTTTCTGTTTCTTATCTAATTGCTCTGGCTAGAGCATCCAATACAATTTTGAATAGCAGTGGTGAAAGTGAGCGTCCTTGTCTTGTTCCTAAGCGTAGGGGAACGATTTCAGTCTTTCACCACTGAGTATGTTTGCTATGGGATTTTCATAGATGTCTTTTAACATGTTAAGGAAGTTTCCTCACTTGAAGCTCTTACTCGAGGGAGGAGGGGGGGCATGGGCAATATATGTAACCTTAACACTTGTACCCCCTAATATGCTAAAATAAAAAAAAATAGAAAAGA